GCACTGTCTGGCGCGTCTGCCTCCGCGACCCGAAAGGAGAAGCGGCGATGGAAGATGAAGATGAAGATGATTCCAATGCTTCATCGGCCGGTTTCAAGCATCACAACAAAGTTGAATTGATTCCGGATTGCTGTCGGACGCCCAAAATCATTCTAATTCTAAAATCGATTGCTACGACGAAACTGCAGGTGTTTGTTCACCTGTTTTATACTCTGTGGTACTTGAAGCATGGGAATAATTGATTCGATTGGTATTCATCAGACAGCCGTCGCTATGAGATTACGACCATGGCTACCAGACGGCTCTGAACAGGTTCGAATAACTGATTTTTCGTCGTGGGCATCAATTTTAAAAATCCTGAACAGTGATCCTTAAATCTGGCCGTAAAGAGCTGGTAAAAGAATCACCAGCAGTGAAGTCGCGAGGGTAAGGAGTCTCAGTTTTAATGTAAACTTCGCCAGAGCTTCCAGCCCTCCGTTCTACCTGAAAAGTGTTGGCAGCAAACATGACAAAGTTAAAGGCTGAAATTTCTTTGTATTTTTTTCGATTTCATTAAATGCAGATTCTATCGGTTTGTCTTGTATATTCCAGAATGTAGTGGAAAAATTTCGTTTATTTGAGGTTATTCTATTTGCAAAAGAATAATTGCTTCATAATGTCTAATAGTATCTCTGGTGATTAAGTTAATGCTCTAATTCTAATTGTATTTTCAACCATCTCATGTTTTCTGAGAAACAAACAAATGTGACGGCCATTTCGAAGCTACAAAATTACTTATCTCATCAATTTCACTTTATGTGCTTTTAAGTTATCATGAGTATTGTTTCGTTATAGTGCCATTTCGCTACGATAAAATTAGCAAGATTGCATACCGTTTCAAAAGCCATCAGGTTGTCGCAAGTTCGGATTTGAACAACGCGCTTTGAATAGTTGCCTACGTTCGTTTTCTGTTTAACTACCGTTTTGACGTGCTTTTCTTGCTGTATGAGTTCGCTGTATTTTATTTTATGACAGAACAATTCGTTTCTTGGTAGAAAGTGCTTCTTTGCCTTCGATGAATGCAGCGTCGGCTTTTCCTTCGTGAAATGTTTCGGAAAGTAAGCCATTTGAATGAAGCTTCTCTTCTACGTTTTACAGTGCTTACCGTTTGTGTTTTCGCAAGGTTTGTGGTGCTGAATTTAGCTCGTCTTCTCACCTCAGTCAGGAATTTCCAGCTTTTTCTTGTTTAACAACCGATGTAATTTCGAGTCTCATCTCTCCTGCCCACGAAATGGTAGTAAATTTCCTATCATGTAAGAAGGAAACCTAAAATGTGACTAGACCAGTGTGCTTTCGGTTTTGAATACCATGCTGTGCCGCCCGTACTTTGATGGTTTGAATGCAGTGGAGAATGTCCTAAAACTTTCCACTGTCCTGAAAATTGTTGTGGTCGTATGTGCGTGTAATGGAACGGAATCAGTGATGTAATTAAAGAATGTACCTAGTGCTGACAAGTTTCAAGCCTTTGCTGCAGTTCGTTCTCGTCATGCTGCGCTTATTAGCAGTCGGCCTGATGGAACGGCGAATGATTATATTTGCTGATTAACCAGAAAAGCATTTTCGAATCTTTTGTTATGCTACCTCATGTATCAAGTTAAAGCTACATTTGTGTTATACTAAGTTAGATGTTGATAGCAGGCTGGGCGGAAGATACCTTGAGAGAACCAAAGTGATCAGTATTCAGTACATTATAATGGTACATACTTAAAAATCTCTGGTCAAGTAGTGCAAGACGTTTTCCGTTGTTGATAAGAGAATGAAGCCTGTTGTCTAGCATTTGTCTTTTAGTTACGTCTGAAATCGCAAGAATACAATACAACTGACCCAGTTGGTAGTCATTACCAAATCACTCAGTCGCTAGCCAATAGCTTCTTGGTTCACGGATCGATATTTCTGCAGTTTTCGGAGCCAATACGGTCTAAATAATCGTGGTAAATATGAAAGTTCTCATGTCAGACTTACTGGAATCTTAAAGGCAAAGGTTATTCTACTTTCAATGTGTTTTTAATGCTGGTAGAAATTAGGGAACGGTTTGTGTTAGTATTTCTATCTGTTCCATGGTACCATTCATCCATGGTATCGTTTGTCATGTTCTCTTAGAGGTTTGTATAGACAGCGGTCCTTCGTCTTCCTTAATATATGATCATATATCACTTAGTTAGTGATGGTAGATTTCTTGAAAACGCGAAGAATTTGTGAAAATTCGATCATTTCCTTGTTAGCCAAGAATTTCTAGTTTATGACAAATCTTTGTGGATATTATTGTCGTTATGAAATGAACTACCGCATTTCACCATCCATTTTATATGCTACTTTACTGTTTTCTTCTTGTATCTAGTATGTCGACGGTGAAGTTCGTTTTTGGGATAATGTCGTTTAGCATATTTAATAAAATTTATTCTAAGCAAACGAAACTTTGCTCTATATGCAAATAGATCACTTTACACTGTATCATGTACTAAAGTAATGTTTCTTGAGTTGTCAGATATTTTCGTTTCGAAATTTATAAACCACGATCAAAACAAGCTTTCGAATTTAAAGGCGGTCTGATTCGCAAATTGTATATTTAATGTGTCGATATATCTTTTATCATGGTTGATAATGCTTGATTAACTTTTCTACCTTCTTTTGTAATTTTTGACTTTTGTACAAAGTGATTGTGCCGTTTCAGATTTTTTGCACTTTACAATGTTTTCCACATTTTATTTTCTGTAAATAATGAGAGATTTTGCATTTAGTTATCATCTGATCAACATATGGATTTCGTACCACTGCCACTTTCACTGGACTACTAAAGTCATAAATAGCGTCTTTTTACTCCAGTAATTTTGTTATCGCGATTTTTCCAATTCATGTTGTTAATCTGCTGTTTTTGTCTACCTCGTAGCAAGGGGCAAAGTGTACCTCGTGTCTATTAATTAATTTTATCATATCAGTTGTTAGTTATGTAACTGCATATTTTTGCCTGCTTATATTTAATACAGCTGTTGTTCAGGTCTGAGCAGTGATGTATGTGAAGCAGTTAGTCATTGATGGCTTCAAGTCATACGCTCAACGAACGGTGCTGGACGATTTTGATCCGAAGTTCAACGCGATAACTGGGATGAATGGCAGTGGCAAGTCAAACATCCTCGACGCGATTTGTTACGTGTTGGGTCTTACCAACCTGGGCAGGGTGAGTAGGCATTTTCTAAAAGATGAAATCACATGTTTAAATTTATTTCTAAAGTAAAACGTGTTATGCTCTAATCGTTGTGGAGACGATGCTATTTAACAGGCGAGTTGACACTTATTGAGTGCAGATATAGATCTTTTTCTTCTGACATACAACTATTCCACATCGAAATATTCAGGTATGCTCCATGGTCATTGACTTGCTGAAAAGTTTAATCAGTTTTTGATTCATCATAGTCTCATGCTGAGTTCTGGAAGCCAACACGGTAAGTGTAACGCCTTGCAATTAGTATTTTACCAGACCTCGCTTATAGCTTTTTAACGCCAAAGAGATCTATCAGTAACTATTTAAATTGTATGTAAGCAAAACAATTTGGAATAACAATATTCAAGATTATTCACGATTGATATTAAAGTATGGGTTAAATTATATTAAGCACCTTATAAATTTTACTGCCAACTTTTGGGCTAAATGACATTTACCATCCCAGGACAATACCTCAGTAAAATCTTATCCTCTGAATATTCGTGGTAGCACTTGAGACGCGGGGCATATGGCGCATTTTCCCCCTGAGAACGACCAGTGTTGTTTGGCCGAAACCGCTTTAAAATAACGTTGAAATCAGTTTTTGACGAGATAAGTCAATCATATGAAACGCCGGCTGTTCTAGTTTTACCCTTTACTGGCATACGGTCAGCCATCAGGTGGGTCAAAGCTTAAGTTATAATCATGTAATGCGCGTGTATCTAACATCAGCAATGCAATCGCATCAGACAGACGGAGAATTGGTCGCAGAGATGCACTTTCGATCATTTGAATTCGAACGGATAGACAGAATATTGTAAAATACAGTTATTACCCTATTATAAAAGCCTCATTATTACGCTGTTTGTGATATACGGCGGTTTTAGTGATGTCCCTCAAAATAATTTTATTTATTTTCTCTGTTAACTACTTCGTTTCAAATTTCTCTGGAGTTATTTTCATCTAAACAGTTTGGATCGAATTTGTTGTGAAAGGCGGCTGGACTGGTAGCGCAAACAAATTGCTGCCTCTCTCGGAATGTCTACGTGACATTACATGTGACTTTCTAAAGATATTCCCTTTCCCTGTATTGTCTCATTTGTACCACGCTTACTACTCGCTTAGCACTGTGGTCGGCAAACTTCCGCCCGCGGTTCGGATTATACGCGGTTGAAATTATCCTTCACCGCAAATTTATATAAAATAATTTAACATTATTAATACAGTATTAAGATATGACAAAGAAATGTCTTCAACTGTCGCTTCAGGAGAAAATATCGGATTGTTTTTTAAAACTATTAAATAAGGTATGAATTTTTT